AGTTCACTATTTTGCTATACAGAAATTCAAAACAAAAATTTTTATCTGCGGATTTGAACAGTTTTTTACCTGTTTCATACTACCGGAAGGTGTATGCTGGTCACAAATGCCGTGCCAAACTGATTTCCTACTCAATTAATCAATATTTGATGTGAAATTCGCTAATAAACACGAGGCGCATTTCTTATAGCAAACATGCCATAACAAAATGGGCATGGTTCATTTATGTAAACAAACTAACACTTCTTCCGACTGTGGCACCTATGTATTTCCCATCGTGGGCGGCGACGATACAGCCCGTTCATATCGTCCGATCTCGCTGCTCAACAGCGACTACAAGCTCTTCTCCCGCATTCTCAAAACCAGACTCGAGCAAGTGATGAGAGAGCACCACGTCTTGAGCGACGGGCAGAAATGCTCCAACTCAGAGCACAACATATTTCAAGCCACTCTTGCTCTCAAGGACCGGATAGCACATCTCCGCCACCACCGCCGTGCCAGGAAGTTAATCAGCTTTGATCTCGATCATGGTTTCGATCGGGTCCGGCACTCTTTTCTATTCGAAACCATGCGCTCGCTCGGCTTCAACCAGGATCTCATCGCTCTACTCTCGCGAATCGCCAGCCGGTCCACCTCTCGGCTGTTGATCAATGGGCACCTTTCTCGTCCGTTCGAAATTCAACGCTCTGTACGGCAAGGGGATCCGCTATCAATGCATCTCTTCGTTCTTTATCTGCATCCACTAGTGTGCAGACTCGAAAGAGTGTGCGGGAATGATCTGCTAGTGGCGTATGCGGACGACATCAGTGTGATTGTCACATCGACCAGGCAAATCGATGAGATAAATAGGCTGTTCACTCGTTTCGAGAGAGCTGCTGGCGCAAAATTAAATTTGCGGAAAACTGTTGCCGTCGATGTTGGCCTTTGCGAAGGCAACAGAATCAACACTCAGTGGCTACAAACAGTCAACGTAGTTAAAATTCTGGGTGTTGTTTTCGCAAATTCAATACGACTGATGACAACGATGAACTGGAATGCGCTAGTGGGGAAGTTCGCGCAACAAATGTGGCTGCATTCTCTGCGCACGCTGACGCTGAACCAAAGGGTCATCATGCTCAACACGTTCGGAACGTCCAGGATATGGTACCTCGCGTCCATACTACCGCCGTTGGGAGTGCATACGGCAAAAATCACATCAGCAATGGGTACGTTCCTCTGGAGAGAGACTGTCGCCCGTGTCCCAATGATGCAGCTGGCACGTAGCAGAGAGAATGGAGGCCTAAAGCTGCAATTACCAGCTCTGAAATGTAAGTCACTCGCAATCAACCGACACCTACAAGAGATCGAATCCCTTCCTTTTTATAGATCCCTTCTTTTCCACGATAATCCCCGCCCAGCCATCTCAATAGATCTTCCCGACCTTAGACAAATCCTATCAAACTTATCCCAAATTCCCCACCAAATCCAACAGAACCCCTCCACCGATCAAATTCACCAGTACTTCGTCCAGCAAAGTGAGCTACCAACGTAACAGTCCAGCAAGTGGCTGGTCACGCATATGGCGAAACATTGCATCGAGGCAACTTACTTCAGCGCAGAGGACGAAGCTTTACTTGTTGGTGAACGAGAAGATAGAGCACCGCAAACTGCTATTCGTGATACGGCGAGTAGATTTTTTTTTTGTTTATTAATTTATTTGATAAGGCTCAAACGAATAAACTTTACAGAGCCGAGGATTCTTGGTCACTTTACAATACATCTTAAAACTATAGTCAAAAGGTACAACACAATGAACACTTTATCTTCCGCTATCCATAAAGCCTCCTCCATCAGAACTGGAGCCGCTTCCAGTAGTTTCATTGTATGGCAAATTGTTGTACGCCAACGAGGGTCAGAGCGCATCCATTGCAACAATGGACGCAAAACGTGGTCAGCACTCACACACTCCTCACGAAACGGTTGCTTTCCAAAGTCGACGACGCATCGACCGAAAGAACTGCTGATGAAGAACAATGAGGAGGACCACACAATGGTTGCTGCCGAGAAAACAGACGATCGCGTAGCACACATCGAGAGTGGCCTGCTTTTGTCGACAGCCGAGTGAACACTGACGGCGAGTAGATGACGAAAACTGTATGCATTGTGGCAACCGTACAGCAGAAACTCTCTCCCACAAATTTTGCGCTTGTGCTCGCGCGGGCCCGGCTTGGACGGTTCTTCAGCAGAGAATAGCTGTCATCTTGGGTGGATGGAGGCGACTCGAGTTCGAAGATTTGTTAAAACCTGCCCTATTAGGAATAAACGGCAGACATAGAGTGGCAATTCTGAATATGTTTATTACATATATCTGCTTCGATAACGATTGTAACGGTAGAATTGATTTTAAAAAAATTGACGGTAAAACAAAAAAACTTTGTATGCTAAACTGACAAATAAAACTTCACTTTAACAAACAAAAAAAAAAAAAAAAAAAAAAAAAAAAAAAAAAAGGGGGAACGGAAAAATCGTCAATGGGACGGCACTAGGGCAAGTTGGTCGGGTTCCTTTTTTTCAGCACGTACGGTATCGATTTCTGCTCAAGATACTCCATCGTCTTCTTGGCGTAATGGGAAGACGGCTTGTCCGGCCAGAAGACGTACTTCCCATCCGCATGATTCTCCTTTAAGAACGGCAGAAGAATTTTCTCCAAACACTCCTCCTGGTACACTTGTTGATTGATGGCCGCTCGACTTGAACCACGGCTTTAAAATCCCTCTGTTCGATATTGTAAAGTCCGTACTGGACTTTAACTTCTTGACTGTGATATTTCACGGTCGTACGAAGCAATACGTTTTCTTTGCTGGTTAAAGCGGGAATGAATTTATTGTCTTCTCGAATTTATTACAAACTCCTAGCTGGAGACACTTGAAGCACCGATATGAAAAATGCTATATACACGATCACCAATCAGCGATCGTTGTCCATGCGGGAAAAGGAAAGATAGAAATCCATCGCTGTACACTCGGTAACAGCATGGTTCAATAAATTAGTAATGCGACACTTCTGTTTGTCGCCATAAACGCTGACAGATATTTTACAGGCATTGAACTGAAGGTTCAATGCCGGGTAGAATTATCCTTCTCAGCATGTTCCCACTAGTGTGGTCTGCTGGAAGTGCATAATGGAAAAGCATGGGAAATGACATGTGGGATGCACATGTCACAATATGGCGATGTACACCATAACTTTTTTTTTCAAATTTAAGCTTAAACTTATATTTTACTTCGGGGGGTGTGGCCGACTTGTCGCTGGAATAGTCATTTCCTGGAATGTGGGTCTTCGAGAGCGTAAAGTAACTTTCGTCGTCCAGCACGAACGACGTCCCGCGGTAGTTCTTCGTCATCCACAGGCACTGCGATTTCACGGTCGCTATCGCCTCGTCCGTGTTGTCGGTCAACGCTTCCTTCTTCTTCTTCGTCATTATCTTCGCCGGACGGCCGCTACCGGCCTTCCGCTTCACGCTCAGGGATGCCAGGATCCGGTAAACTGTACTCACGGGCACGTTTTCGTCTCGAAAGTGGTCTACCGTCAACTTTTTTCCACGATGACCATGCGTTTCGTAAAACCGTACAACACGCTCGCGGAGTGCTTGCTTTTTCGACGCCATCTTCGATTAAACTGACAGCACCTGAGCGAAAAGAAACATGTCACCCATTTTCTCCAAAGAGCAATTCTTTTTGAGAGAAAAAAATTTACGCTCTTTACTTTAATTACAGAAAGGTATTGAAATCATTCTCATTTTTTATTGAACACCCGGTAAATACCTAATTTAACACCTAACGGAATTCATTTTTGACATAAAATATGAGATGTAAACAAACATGTTTTGTAAAATAAAAAGCTCCAAGACTGAAAAGTTCTTTACTCGACGAAAAGTATATATGAATTTCGCGACTATCATGACTCCATTGTATGTCAAAATTGACGCTCGTATATGTCAGTCTCAGAGCACTTAAATTGACATGAATTTTTCTAAGTGTGTATGTCTTGTTCTGATAAAGGGTGGTGGATGGTGGTGGTGGTGGATTACGTTTGACTCGGTTTGACTATATAAATTACATTGGGGCTACATTGAGCTTGTTGATGTTGACAAATAAATAAATTACAATCACATAAAGTATGGCCCATTAAGGCTCTGAACCATTTGGTGGATTATTTTAACTTTTGGTTAAAATTTGACAGATGAAAAGTTATCGATTAACCCTGCTATCCGAGCGTGGTTACTTCTGAAGTGGTTACAAGAAGTTAAATTTTGACGACCGTGGCTCGAAAACCGGTCGATCGACAGCACGGGGATTTTCGAACATAAGAAATAACTTTCGAAATGTCACTTTTAACCACGAGTTAAATTTAACTCGGCAAATGGTTCACAGCCTAAGAGATGCGAAATTTCGATGGCGTTTTCTTGCGATCTTGGTGGAAGAGGCTCCATGCGGTTTCGGTGCTGATTTATGATGCTGCCAGCGGAGGTTTAAGGAAATTTTAACGGAGTTTTTCCGCGTTCTCGGTGGAGGAGGTTCTGCACAATTTTGGTGGATGTGATTCTGTTTCTGATTCGGCCAGCGGATGTTCCAGATTCAACGGAGCGGCTGTTGAGTTAGTGGATTTTAAAACTCAGTGGAAAATGTTCTCCACCTGAGGGATTGATAAGCGAACCTCATCACTTTGTCTTTCGGTAACAAAGTACATTAGCGATTCGTACTTCAAACCTATTCTGCTTATTTACTCTTTATATACCTAACGCACTAGCTCTGCTGCGAGCTGCTGTTGCTTATCGTTTTGGATCGTTTTACTGTCAAGAACTACTGTCTGCTATAGCTATATGCCCTATGGAAAATTGCAACACCAACAGCGGCGGCTTAATTTGCTAGAGCCAGGGCTCTTGAATCGTGGTTCGTGAGTCATTCTCATTTGAGAGCCGCGGTTCAATTTTGGGCCTTGGGTCGTTTGAGAGCCGCGGTTTAATTTTGTTGAACCGTGGTTCGTTCACTCTTTTCGCGTACGTCTTTCGGTAACAAATTGGGAAGGGTCAATTTAAAAATGATGCTTTCCGCCTGAGCAACGGCCGTGCGAAGATCGTCAAAGTGGTAAGGTGATGAGCCAATGATCCTGACGAGATGGTGCTTGAAGCTCTTCACCGCAGCTTCCCAAAGCCCACCACAATGTGGTGCTCTCGGAGGTATGAACTGGAACTCGATGCCTCTTTTCAGGCATTCGGTAGCCCATTCGTTGGACTTCAGCTGCTGGACGAGTTGTTGTCGCATCTCCTTTATTTCGCGAAACGCGCCGACGAACGAGGTGCTGTTGTCGCAGTGTATAACGCGAACGCGACCGACGCGACTCACAAAGTGCCTCAACGAATTGACGCACGCAGCAGCTGGCATCCCAGCGACGATGTCCAGCACAACGGCCTTTACGGCGAAGCACACGTACACTGCGACCCAGACTTTTACCGAAGCGCCCCTTCCCGCGAATTGACGAACGAGAAACGGCCCGCAGTAATCCAGCCCCGTGTGTTCGAAAACTTTAGATGGTGTAATGCGCGCAGCAGGCAATGGCGCCATATATTGATTGCTTGCGTTCGGACGACAACGGAAACACGTCACACAACGATGCACTGTCCTTCGAGCGAGGTCTCTACCACGGATCGGCCAGAAACGCTGCTTGATGGTCGCGAGCAGTTGTGTTGGTCCGGCGTGCAGAGTTTGATGATGAATTGATCTGGCAATTAACCGTGAGAGATGATGATCGGCAGGTAACAGGATCGGAAAGCGATTGTCGAAGGTGCCAGGTGACTGAGCTAGGCGACCGTTCAAACGGAGAAGCCCTGCGTCGTCGATCAACACGTCAATGTCTTTGAGCGGAGACTTGAAGCCTGCTTTTTGCAGAGCCAAAGACTTTTGGTCGTGGTTCTGCAAATATTGTAGTTCCTGATGGAAAGTTGTTCCTTGTGCAACTCGAATGAGAGCTTTGAGGGCATTGTTGTACTCCATCGTCAATGCAAGGGTGTGAATTCAAAGTAAGTTATATCCAAGGTAAGTACAATTATTACAGGACAGTGTATCTAGTAAGTGATTTAGTGAAGTTGAGGAAAGGTAATTGTTTGGAAGCCGCTACAGATTCCTTGATATATTTTTAAGAATTAGGAATCAAGTTGGACTTCACGGCCTTTGCAGCTTGTTACTTCTTGACAATATTGTATTTCCTAGTATTGCTTAATCCATCATTAGGACTAAACCCAGTCTGTTGATGTAGAACCAAATAAACAAATGAACAAGCCAATCGATTTTAACGTCACCTACCAATCTGCTACCAATTAACACTTTATCAACTTTCAAACGGACACTACTGAACATTATCACCGATTAACTACGAAAAGCGCTTTCCCTAACACAGACTTAAAAATCGAATTCACTCTGGTCTTGCCGAACGGAGCTTATTGAATCCCCACGGGTGGTGAGTGGTGGTGTCCAGTGACCATCATCAGCAACAGCAGCAGTGCTTTCGGTGCGTGGCGTTGTAGATTGTTCTCCAGTACACGACGAAAGGCTGCCCGCAAGCGTGAGTTGCAGCCCACTGAACGGTCCATTCGCCGTCTTTCCTTTATTCAACGTCGGTCTCGGTTCCACAATCTAGTGCCAATCACCGGCGGACATCAATTGCCATCCATTGACGGCAACCAAATGTGCAGAAAGGCAGATTCCACACCTGCGTAGGATATCGCATCCATTCAACCACACATGGGCCGGGACCAACGGCTTTACTTCCCTTCCGAAGGAAGACGTGACCACTACTAGCTTCCTCTATCATATGTCAAAGCAAAAACGATAAATTTGAGTGTTGTGGACTGGACAGTCAGTGGAGTATTCGTTTATGTGCAATCGTTGGAGAAAGTAGTGCATGATGAGTAATTTATAGTCTAATTTTCCACAATACTGAGTAATTTTTTACTAAATTGTGTGTTGTTTTCGATAAGCGTGTTGGTATTGAGCTGTTAACTTCTAAGCACTCAACTTAAACGCTGCTCGCTACTTAACTAGCCTATTGGTCCCAAGCAAACGATTAACGTACCCCATTCTAGTCGAAATGCTACTACTACACAATGTTTGTTTTAATTCGCTATGAATGTTTGACAGATAAAATGAGGGGTTAGTGGATTTTCGAGGGGTGAATCGATTAGCTTGGGACCGAAGAGAGTACTAGAGCTGAGCCAAAAAGTTGAGCACGTTTCTTCAGGACCTACTAGTCAACCTCAATATTATAACTCTGTAGTCTGAACGTACTATTACAGTGTAAAGGTGACTATTTTGTGTCACTATTCGCGCTAGTGTCGGGGAAAACCGTGTCTTGAGGATAATAGATGAGTGGACCATATTTTTAATACATAATGTTTGCTATTTTGCAGATTATGCAGCGGCCTTAAATTATGTGGGATTTTGGGTTCCTTTTTCTTCCGGTGGAAATGTATGTTTTGATTGACGCCGATTGTCACCGACGTTGCATATTTTTGCCAGTCGATGTTGCTTTTGGGGTCAAAATACAAAAAGAGTACACTTTTAGATTTTTTGCCGGACGGGATCTCAGTTAACAAACGGGAATTTTACTGAGATCTCGACTAACAAACATAAATTTTGCTGAGATCGCAGTAAAAATAAATGCCGAGCCTGCTCGGTGGTGCCAATCTCGGCAAAAAAAATCTAAGTGTGTATATTAAAAAAAAATCGACGAAACCATTAGTGTCAAAATGACCCATGCACTCACCTCCCAAATAACCCACTGCCCCGCCTTTCCCTCTGCACGCCACTGCTGTAAAGCTTCCCGGTGGTAGACTCGATTCGGAGTGAAATGGCAACCCAAATGGCGGAACAGGAGAGTAAGATGCCATAAACAAATTGCAACACAATGATAATGATATATCTCGGCACTGGCAGCAGCAATCGTGCATGGCCGCTCCTCGCACGGTATTCCCAACCTTGCCTTCCGAATCGGAAATGAGCCAGCAAGCTCCCATCCCTGGATATACGGCAGTCGGTGAGCAAGCAACGATCGGTTCTCGCCTTACCATATCTGATTTATTGCACGTAATCACACACTGCGCTGTAGAGTCCTACTGCTTAGTCCGGGGTCTGCAGGAATCCGAGTTGAAACCGAGTCACCTTCAGGGAGCGGGGTGAGAATGTGTGCTACGACTTCTCCCGCACTTTCCTCGTAGTAAATGTTTTCTGAAATCCCCTTTCCCGGGGTGAGTTCGTCTTATGAAATTCGAGAAAATAAAAATGGTTTGACATCTTTGCCTCCTCATTTGCTACTTCCCCCCGGTTTCTTTCTTCTTATTTTTTTTTTGCATTCCAAGCATTGTTCACCCATAGTATCCTATATCGGAAGCATCAGGGATAACGGAGCCAAAAAGAAAAGATATTGCAGCACGTTCTCCATGTTAGAGGCCTGGGTGAGATAAATGAGCCGTACTGATTAAAAGACGAGGAACACTTTTGTGGGGACCAGGGAATGGACGGAAAGCCAAATCAGGACCCATTGGCCCCATTGCACTGCCATTTGCTGGCCTGCTGGGGGAGAAGCACAGCGGCGGCGGGCGAACGTGATTGTCTTTATGACTAATGGGCTTTCACTGCGAACCATGTGCTTGCGCGACGCCGCCGTCGTCGTGAAGATTCGTTTAGGACGATTTTATTGCGTTCTTATCGAGCGCTGGTCGGGAGACAGAAATGACGAGCAACGAAATCAAATGCTGCTTATCGGGTGTTTTTATCCATCATTGACTACGGGCCCCGGACGGCCTTTGGGTGGTGGTCACAAATGCGAATTCAATAGGGATATCAGTTTTATTAGCGATGGCATGCTTTATGATGCGAAAGGAAGCGGGGGTTTTTCTTTGCAGAAAACCCGAAATTTATGTTGATGTTTTGCAAGCAGCAGTACATTTGGTTTCCTGTTGGGAATTACATTCGGAAGAGTTGGATCTTTGGAAGAACGTAGGGCTTAGATCTAAGGTATGGCCTACTAAGCACAAGTCGCATTTAATCTCAATTTTTCAAAAGGATTGCAACCCAAAATAGAATGTTTCTACTAAATATGGCTGCTAAATTTACAAAGGAAGATGGAAGGATTAGTAATTTCCATTCAATTAGACTACCTTAATTGCTTATCCTTGACAGATACGCGGATTTCGTATACAATGTGCAGACTTTTTCAGTGTCTTGTGCTAATTCTCGACTAAATTTATTTGCTTTGGTTCTCACAAATTGTTCTTGTTTCCCACTTCGACCTACGGGTTTCAATTTCGCACAAACACAATCATAAACAAACGTCATTGGATTTACTTTTTCATAAATGGAATGGAAAAATTCATTCCCATGGAGTGTTTCTTTTGTTTTAGAAAACAAAGCCCCGGCTGTAAATATTCATACTTTACGCACTTAAAGGCAGTGTGTTGTAGCTTTTTAACTGTAGTCTTGTATCAAAATAATAGATATATTTGATGTTTTCTGCTCAATAGAATGAAAATGTAAATATTTACGGTCAGGCTTTGCTTGGCTTTACGTACAGTTTCGAACTGGTCATAGAACAGTGGAAGAGTCGTGACTCGGCCAGTTAAATGGTAAGATTAACCGATTTGATCCCACGAAAATAGCTGTAAAAAATCACTGCTTAAAGATAGGGTGCACACTTAGATTATTTCACAGGAGTCAGTATTTTTACTAGGTTTTTGAATTGCTGAAACAGTCGGTAAAATTCAAATGGCTATCATTAAGGTGAACGATAACGGTTTTCCGTTGATACTGACTCTACCGCACCCAAATTCAAAATGCAACAATACCAAGGGGTTGGTCACTCGGCACAGTGTGCCGAAAACAGATTCGGCACAATATGGGCGCATCTGGGCGCACTAATTGGCAACCATGATCAAAAATTTACATGACATTTAAACAAAACTAGCAGCACTTCTATTATTACTACCATTGTTTACATTTCGGTTGACTTGTAGAAACAAAAAGGTGTCTCAAACAACTGAATTGGATTCGTTCAGAAACATTTTCACATTAAAGCTCTCAAAAGATCAAGGCCAAGATATAAAAAGTATGATTCGTTTTTCAATCGAAAAAACGAATATGATTATATATTTACTGGAAGATAAAACTAAACTGAGCTGGAAAAACCGAGTTGGGCTCGAGAAGGGATTACTCTGGTTGTAGCTGTTACCATTGGCGTTGGTCAGCGCATTTTGTGTTTGTCGAGGTAGAGATAGCAGGTATACACGTTGATAATCGCAGATCACAAGGAGCTGGAGCAAGGCATTACGCAAAGATACTTCCGCAGAAAACGTTTCTTTTAATTAGGTAGGGGTACAATCCGATCGGTCGATCATTTTTCCCGGGGGCACCTTTGAATATTGCTTTTATCACAAACGAAATTTACGATTGTAAGAATCGTTCAAACTTCCCACATAATTGCTTTTCACCGTCCTCTACGTATTTCCTAGAACTCAAAGCAACAATGTGGTAGTGTCCAATCATTTCACGATCTCGCGACCAGGGTGCCTTCCATTCATTTTGGCTAAGAAAATGTTTTATGAAATTATGGAATAATAAGATTATATGATAATATTTTGTTTGTGTAAGCAACAAGAAAATATTGTGTAGTTTGTGTCTGACGCATAATACCTGCCAATTTTGCTACATTAGTGTCGCAATAAGCGATTTTGTCATTTATCTCACCCACTCTTCGCTCTTCACTCTTCGCGAAGAGGCGATCAGAAAATCGCTCATTGTGACTCTGTTAAAGCTAAATTTGCATGTTTTGTGTGTCGAACATAAACGTTACAATCTTTTCTTGTTACTTACACATACAAAATATTATCATAATATCTTATTATTCCATAATTTCATAAAACATGTTTTTCCCCAAAATGAATGGAAGGCACCCTGCTCGCGACCTACTTTTCCAGCTCCCTGGTAGCGGTCTCCCGTGACGA